AAAGCTTTTTCAAAAAAAAACAAAAGATTTTTTTTTTTTTGAAAAAGTTTCCATATTTTTTTTTGAAAAAAAATGGATTAAACCTGGGTGTACCACTATGATCCCAAACTGTAACAACAAACCTCAGAGTAAACTGAGCATGGTTGTTCAGCCCCAAAACAACCAAAATGGTCCAAATCATCCAAAAATGTTATGGCATCTGTTTTTTGGGATCCAAAGGGCATTTTGTTGATTGATTATCTTCAAACCAGTAAAACCATAGTAGGAGAGTATTTTTTCATATAATTTAACATAATTGGTTAACATAATTTGAATGATACCTCATTCAAATTATGTTAACTAATCAAAAGTGTAAGGAAAATAAGCAACTTGCGCAACTTAAAATCATTACAATAATTTAATAATCTATGATAGCGAAAAAAATATTACACAAAAACCATTAAAAATAAACATAAAAATAAACCCGCAAAAATATTAATAAAAATAAAAAACCAAAATTTTGAAAATTAAAACAAAGCTGAGTAATGAATGTTTTACTATTAGAATAATGTAAGAATGTAATATAACATAAAAGTTCTTTGATAATTGTAATAATATGAAAATCAGCTGGTAAATAAAATATTAATAAACACTAACTAAATATTGAAACAAGACCAAATACGTTTTAGCCAAATAATTGGTTATCAAAAAATATTTTTGGGTGATACAATAATGATGTAAGGCATGATATAAAAATGATGTAAGAAGTGGGAAAAAATAATGTTTAAAAGTTTTCCGAATTAAAAGTAACTTTGAGACCATAACGAAATCCAAATTTTTAAAAATTAAAGTAGTTCTACGGTTCGAATTAACGCAAATTTGAGACCATAACAAAACAACACAAAAAAACAAAACAAATCAACAAAACATATAGAAAGCCTCTAGTTTTAAATAAAATTGCTCAAAAGTTTATCTATAAAAATCATGCAAAACAATGTAACAGACTGTATGTGCATATGTGTGTATAGGTGTAATGTGTAAGTCTGTGCTGTCTATGTTGTTCAGGAGAGTAAAAAGAAATTATTCTAGAAACTTTTAAAGGATCTTTAATATAATCCTAAATAAAGGCAAGTCAGCTCTCACATGTGGGTCAGATCTTATCCTCTCTTAAATCTTAATGGTCAAAGATAAAATTTTTTGATTTTATACTAGCATATATATATATATATATATATATATATATATATATATATATATATATATATATATATATATATATATATATATATATATATATATATATATATATATATATATATATATATACATATATATATATCTGTGTGTGTGTGTGTAAATGCTATATGTAACTTTGTATAATAGGTTTACTAATAGTTATTTTTAATCTTTGATTTGCAAACTTTTATTATCTAATCTTGAGCCTAACAACTTACTGACAATCACTATGAGTTTCAGTTTTTTTATTTTACTGTTAAGTGTTCCAACAAAAAAGATTTTATTGTACATTAAACGGAAGTGTAGATATAAAGGGGCATTCTTTATTTATCAAAGACTTTTGATTAAATCTATTATGCAGGTCCTCTCAATTATCTTGCATTATCTAGGAACATTTTTCAAAATTATTAAAACATTAAATTCCAATTTCTCTACTAAAATTGTCTTTGATCAACAAAACTCTTCTTCTTTTCCAGGAAATTTTGTTTGTTTATGCAACACAAAGATCACAAAAAGTGACCAACAGAGCCATCCAGTGAAAATAAAAACAGATTGTAGATGATGTTACTTAGGTATAAAAAAAACATAAATTAATGTAAAGACTCTTTAGTAGGAGGAGTAAAAGTTAGCAACTCAGGAAGAGAGGAATCATAACTCACACTCTAGTCATCTTTAGCAAATGATAAAGCAATGATCTATGAGTAAACAAGTCAATATAAATCCACTGGTTTATAAATGGTATCCATTACTAAAATAATCACACCATAATGAGTCTAATAAATGTGGTATTATATATGGTCTAAACTCTAGATAACAAATTGAGAAATGATAATCACCTGTGTAACATAAAAATTTATAAATGTTTTTAATGTATCAAATTCAAAAAAAAAGCTCAAAAAGCACAAAAATCCATGGGTGTAAGGGGTAAAAAATGTTGGTGCTATAATAACCAATTAGAATTAAGTAGTGGATGAATGGTGATCTCCCTCCTCAGGAATGCACTGCAATCATCAATAACGTTTCGGAGAGCCCAAGACTATGTGTATTATTTTTGCTGACTTTGTGCTTGGATCTAAAATCTAACGTCATAGCACAACATTCCACACCAGCATGGAGCAGTAGCTCTTTTGGCTAATAGTGATTGCTTATGGTCTACAGTAACTTATGTGTGCATTCGATCAATTGAAATCCATTCTTTAGGTCTTATGTCTAGCTCTGATGTGCTAGCCCATAAGCGCAAGAAGTGAGTGTGTTTAGCTTTCTAATTACCCAATTTGAAAGTGAATGAAAACATAATGAAACCATAAAAGACGATTGAACAGAACGTACTAATGCACTACACTATCACACCTGTAGACATCAACAGTCTCTAAAATCAATGTATCAAATATTTGTTCTTTGTTACATATGATCTACACACAGAGTGATTAGAGTGTTACTTGTTTCTCCCCCTGCCCCTCAAGCATTTAACTTTATTCTTCATCTTTACAAAAGTCTTGCCACTCATTTTATATTTTCATATGATTTTTATTTTTTTATTCAACGACACCATCTACTAATTGTTTTTATTATCACATCTCCCAGATCTAACTGGATGGCTCCGTATAGTCAATTTTTGCGATCTTTGTGTCGCATAAACAAAAAAATTCTCCTTCTTTTTCAGGAAATTTTGAGGTAACAGAAGGTTCCATCTTCCTGTGTTGTTTCTCATCTCTAATAACAATCTTCTTTATAATCTTCTAAGATCTTTTTGCTGGTGAAGTAACTATAATGCAAAATTAACATTTGCTTAAGTTGATTTTTAAAGTTTATATGCCTTTCTTTATTAAGCTTGTCATTTTCTTACTGCTGATTCTATTCTCTACCTTGATAAATATTTTATTTTTTCAGAACTCTCCTTTTTGTTTTGGTGATTATAAAAGTATTTAAATAAAAGTACATGTTTTATATGAAGAAAAAAAAGAATTGTTTTTATTTATTTATTTATAAATAAGAAAAGAATAGTATATTATCTATACATTTTTTTTTTGTATAAAATTTCATATATTTTTTTTTTATGTAGTTATTTATAAATAAGCAACAAAATAAAAAATCATTTTTTAGTTTAAGTTAAATTTATTGAGTTCAATTTTATTTATACTATTTGTGTAATTTATTTATTTAAATCTGATCTTACTTCTGTAAGAGATCTTACTTCTGCTACAGATATCACTTCTGTAACAGATTGGGGTTTTCAGTGGCTTGTGAACTTTAACTCTAACAAAACTCAGTTATTTACTGCAAACAAATTTATAAATATTTATCCCTGTATGGAATACTGTTGTCATATATATATATCTTTGCTTCCAACAATGCTGCAAGCAACCACTATTAGAGTTGGAAGTTACTAGAAGAGAAAAGATGAAGATTGTATAGTAAAATAACGATTGACAGACAACTTAAGAGATTGCAAATTATATGGAAAGCAAGATGAAGGAAGCGAGAACTGATGTTTGAGGAAAAAAACTACAGGAATAAGAGTTTTTGGAGCATTTAAGAAAAGTCATAGAAAAAGGATGAGACTTAGGAGACGCCTAGTGCTTTAGAGCAGTGTCTATTATAGTATTTGTAGAAAAGAGAAAGAGAAGCAACATTGCGACAATGTGATAATGATTGGAGGTTGGCTGCAAGAGCAGGTCCAATTATGTTTACAATACCTTTTTGCACTTTGTCTAAAAAAGATGGGCATCATTAGAAGATCCGCCCCATGATATGGCAACAATATTCAATAAAAGGCTGGATTTGAGATTTATAGAGATAGAGAATAAAATCCGGAGTAAGAAAGTGTTGAGCTTGATAAAGAGATGCAACCTTAGCAGATGCTAATTTTGCAACAGATTTGATATACATTTCCAAGAAAGATTGGAAGTAAAAGTTGATCCTAGAAGATGAAGGGTAGACGACTCATCAAGTTCAGTGCCATTCATAAATATAGGAAGATCTAAATTGCAATAATGATTGGCCGAGAAAATTTAGATTTATCTGAATTAAAGTTCACCAGTCACTGTAATCCCCATGAGGTGAGATTCTTTCCAAGCTCATATGCCTCCTTTAAGCGATCAGAGACTGTTGGCTTCTTATTGTGACAAGAATAAATGATTGTATTATCAGTGAACAATGCCACTTTAGATGTGAAAATATCTGGAAGATCGTTAATGTAAATTAAAAAAAGTATAGGGCCTAGAATTGAACCCTTAGGAACCCCTGAGGTTACTTTTAAAGAATCCTGAGGGTACTGTTAAAGAATATGAATAAGAGTGCTTTTAAAAGCTAAAATTAAAAAATATAAGATAAAGGTAAAAATAAGATAGTAATCAATAATATTAGATAATATTAGCTGAAAAAGAAAATAGAAAGTTAGATTGAAAACTGAAATTACTGACTTTCGAGGACAACTTTTATACTATAATTGGAAAGTAAGGATTCAATAATCTTAAAGACGTTACCTGAAACATTGTAAGAAGAAAGTTTATGGAGAAGACCAGCTTTAGCAGAGTTGATTAAAGTTTTTTTTTTTTTAATTTTTTCAATGTTTGAAATGTAAACAATATGTACATACATCTGTTTGCATTTTTATTTAAAGTTTAATAGTTGTGTTTAGAAAAACAGTTAACTTTTAATTTTTAAGCTTATTATTTATGTTTAGAAACACAGTGAACTCTTTTTTAGTAGTGTTTAGAAACACAGTTAACTTTTTTTTAAAAACATTTAAAAAATCTTTATATAAAAATAATAATTAATTTTAGTGCCCAGTGCTCCTACAAAATTTTGTGTTCTTTTTTCTACCACATCAAAATTGAAACTTAGCTGGGATGAACCTTTGGAAAAAAATGGTGTAATTATAGGGTATGAACTCTCTGTTGAAGGTATAATGGCATTTCTTTATTTTTATGTTCGAAATTTTTTTTCCTTTGATAAATATAAATAATAACATAAATATTGAAGTTAAAAAAAGAAAAATCAATATTTCCATGATTTTGCAATATTAGTATTAATATTTTTGTTATATTTTGTTTGTATATTTTTATTTATGTATATTTTGTCATGATAAATGTGTTATAAAAAAGAAAAACTAGATGAATAAAGGTTTTTTGAATATAAAGGAACAATAACAACAAGATAAAAGCTTGAGCAGCGAGTTGTATTTGTACAAGAGAGTAAGAAATGCAACCTATTAACTATGGACAAATAATACACGTTTAGAAAAATACTTGGCAGAGTTATCCAACTCTATTTTCTATGTGTTTTAGACCTTATTTATAAAAGAAAGTACATTATTAGAAGTACTTGTCTAAATATGACAACAATGTTCCACACAAGGATGAATAAAAGTTCGATAGATGTAGAGAATGGAATCAGAAGTAAGAAAACGACAAGCAAGGTAAATGATGAACTATAGCAGAGACTAACTTTGCCACGATTGAGTGTTTCCATGAGAGGTCAGTTGTAAATGAAGTTTAGAGAATATATTAAGTAAAAAACTCAAAATAAGCGTCTCACTTACTCGATAAAAAAGTGTGTATTAAAAAAAAGAGTGAGTGAAAAGAAGAGTGACTGAGTGAGTGAGTCAATACAAATTATATGCAAAATTAAAATAATTTTTTGCAGTAACTGCTCTTATCTGTCACAGAAGAGAGATCTTCTTCATGATGATTTCATGAAAGAATCATGAAGGAAACCTCAATGAATAAAGGAAACATTATGTAACATCATGAAAAAAATGAAAGATGAAAAAAATCTCAATAGATAAATGAAAAAAATTTGAAATGAATAAGTGTGTTGTTTATCACACAATTATTCATTTCAAATTTTTAAATAAAAATTCATTTCAAGTTTTTATAAAGCAACTTAAATACTGTGGTTAGAAAGGTATGATTCAATAATTTTGAATTTTTCTGAGATGTATCTTATGAAGATAGTTAATTGAGAAAACCAGCATCAAAAACCTTTGATGAGTTTTTGAGCATCAAAAACCTTTATCAAGGTAAATATCATATTTATATATATAAATATAACTTATAAATATAATATAAATATTATATTTACCTTTATCAAGATATATGATAAATATCAAGAGAAACATATCAAGATATCAATCAACCATATCAAGAGAGCAACCAAAAGGCAACAGCCTCACTTTATTATTATCTTGTCTCACTGCCTTCTACCTAATCTTTTTATTATTTTGTTACTATGGTTACAAAGAGTCAGCTGTAAAACAAGAAAATTAAAACCATTCATTTTTTAAGTCAGATAGCAAATAATTAAATAATAAATAAATAATATTCAGCTTTAAATTTAATTTCAAAATTATATTTTTAGACTCAAGATGAAATTTTAGAAATGTTTTACTAATAACAGTTTAGAAATTAATAATAATAGTAACTAAGCAACAGTTAGAAGAGACAGAGCCATCACCAACTTACATCTCAAACAACACCTCTAATTTCCAAAAAGCAACTACTATTAAGTTGGGAGTTACTAGAAAAAAAAAAGAGTCAAGGAAAAGGTTGACAGAAGACTTTTAAAGTTGAAACTGAAAAAATAATAGAGTTATATAGCAAGTTGGTTGACAGAAAACTTGAAAAGTTGAAGGTTGTCTGAGTCAGAAAAGATAAAGATGGAGAGAGTTACGGTGCAGAAAAAAACATGACAAATAAAAGTTTTTAGAGCATGCAGGGGCTAACACAGTAAAAAGATAAGGCTTTGTTGAATTACGAGTCAAACAAGAATAAGTTTTAGTTGATGGAGCTTGAGATGATAACTCCTAGTATTTGTAAGAAAGAGATGCAACTTTATGATCATAGGAAAGAGGCTCAAACTTAGCAGATAGAGCATTTCTAACTTCATTAACAATGCACTTTTGAACTTTTTCTATAAGAAAAATTTGTAAACTTTGTTGAGTTTTGTTGGAAAATAAATGAAATTTAAAATTCACAAGCCACTACAAACAATTTGTTACAGAACTGATAGCAGATTTAATATCAATTGCCTGTTTTTAGCCATTGAAAAGTGAAAACTTTTTGTCAAGGCTGGAGTATAAAGTTAAATCATCACCAAATACTTTAGATTTAAGGTTGTCATGACGACAATGAAGATAAGATAAAAAACAAGAGCAAGGGACTATTGAAGTTACTGGAAATGAAAGTTACTGTTACTAAGTTACTGGAAATGAAAAAGAGTTCTTTTTGTTGGTCATCAAGGATTACTTTAATAAAGCGAATAAAAAAAATGATTTGATAATTTCAAAATCTTTTCCAGATACACCATATAAAGCAAGCTTGTACAGAAGACCTGCACGGAGGACCTCCAGAAATTTTAAAAATTTTGTTTGCCACCGAGTGATTGGTTAAAAATCTTGCTTTTATAAACAAAAGTGAAAAGTTTTATATGTTGTTTAATATTTCATAATATTTTAATACAAAAATTATACTTTTTTTTTTTTCTTAATAAAAGGAAAAAATTTTGAAACTTTTTAAATTTATAATGTTTTTGAAGATAACAAGAAAGTTTTGCCAAGTGTTGGCTTATACTTGGTAGTATCTTACCTTATATTAAATTATTGAATCCTTTGACAGACAACTTTATCCCTTAATTTCAGTTACTACCACATTAAAACCACAAGTTTTTATCTTTTGTCCCATGTTGTTTTGTATTTACCTGGGTACTAGATAACGTAGGTACCTCCATCCCTTTTTTATTCTGATTACCCTTGATTCTGATACCTTCTTCTGATTCCTGATTACCTCTGATTCTGATACCTCTATCTCCTGATTACCTCTGATTCTGATACTTCCATCTCCTATTTCCTAATTACAACTGATTCTGATTGATATTTTGGTTTTAATTTTGTGTTTTTTCAAGGAAAACCAATAAGTATATTTTTAAAGACAAAAAGTTATATAATGACACATCTACAATCTTCAACTCAGTACAATTTTGAGGTATTGAGATTTTCCAACAATTTTTTCAGTTTAGTTTAATAATAAATTAACAATTTATAAAATAACTGTTTCATTTAAAGTATTTTAACTTTTTGCTTGTTATTTGTAACTGTTTGTTAATTATTTTAATATTAGTTTTATACTAAAAAATAAAAAAAAATGTCCTCAGCTTACATAAAGTAACTTGATTAGATATATAAGCAGCCATTTTGTTTAGATACGTGTTCTAACTAGTGAAGGAAAAAGATTAGCAGCTTATTTGACAGGAACAACAAATACTCTTGGTATTTTTTGTTATAATTATTTTTTACATTAAACAAAACACATTAATATTTTGAAAATGCATTTTTAATATTTCATAATTTAATATTTTGAAAATGCATCTTAAAAGCAGGATATAGGCACTAGACATGGTATAGGGTACAGGCACTAGACATGGTATAAGGTACCAGCACCAACATGGTATAGGGCACAGGCACAGACATGGTATAGGGCACAGGCACAGACATGGTATAGGGCACAGGCACAAGGCAGGGTAAAAGCAAAAGCTTTGAAGTAAAAGTAATTTTTATTAAATCATTTATGTATGTAGACATTCACACAGTTATAACAAACAGAAGTTTGTTATAACTGTGTGAGTTTGTCATAAGTAATTAGGATTATGGCCAAACTCTTTTAATTTTTAAGGCTAAAACAAGAGCAAGAACAGTTTAGCATTTGGATTGTTTCAAAAGGCGCTTGTTGCAGATAAGACTATAGTTATATATGATATGTGATAACTGCATCGATATATATATATATATATAATTATATAGTTTTTAACTACTGTGTGAGTCATAAGTTTCAAGACATGATAATCATCATTATAATGATGATTATCATATATGGTTAATACTGGTTAATATGGTTAGTACTAAACTATAAGTTTACTACTTTTTAAGACAAACATAGTATAAAATATTATTTAAGTTTGAAAAATACACTGTGTAAGGAAGGCAGGGTGGCCAGCAGTCTTTAAAAACCTGGAAAAGTCCTAGACAAACACATATTTTAGCAATAATTTCTGGAAATCCAACAACTTTTTTTTTTTTTAAATAGTTCAATATTTTATTATCATGTTTTTATCTTTTACAAAGTTGTTATTAATTTTGCATAGATTTATACTGAATTTGATAACTATGTATTTTCTATAATGCAAAAAATATATTAATGTTACTGTTAGTATTATTAACATCTACTATATAGTTATTTTTCATTTTCATATTTTTTCTTAAATCAAAATATTTATAAGATAATATTGTATAAGTTTTTAATATTAGATTATTTTGCACCCTCACCTCCTCAATTACATGTTCATTGTAAAACAGAGATTTTTATTGAGTGGGATCCTCCTAAAAATCTTCTTGGCAGATTAAATTATTATGAACTTAGAATGGATAACATGGTTTTTTGTTTTTTTATGTTTTTCTACTTTAATTTGTTTTTAGTTTGAAATCTAACAAGAAATTCTCTGATTCTTAGTAACAGTAGTTGTGACATGAATTATAATTTTCTGATAGAAAAAGTAATTTTTCATTTAACACGGAAGGTGTGAACACAGAGGCTATTAAAGTTTTTTTGCTAATCATATGAGGAATTTTATTGTTACTATAGTCTTTGCTTATGCATGTTTCTTTATGATTTTTGCCATCATTTACATTCTTTGTTATTGTTGTTGTTTTTTTATTTTGCTCACAACAAAAAGCCATATTAAGATTTGAAGTTAACTGTGAAACCAAAAGTAGTAAAGAGAGTTAAAGAAAAGAAAACTGTTGATAGAAAACTGTAAATTAAAAACTGTTGATAGAAAACTGTATATTAAAAACTGTTGATAGAAAACTGTAAATTAAAAACTGTTGATAGAAAACTGTAAATTAAAACCTATTAATAGAAGACTGTAAATTAAAAACTGCTGATAGAAGACTGTTAATTAAAAACTATTGATAGAAGGCTGTAACTTAAAAACTGTTGATAGAAGGGTGTAAAACAAAAATTGTTAATAGAAGGCTGTAAATTAAAAACTGTTGATAGAAGGGTGTAAATTAAAAACTATTGATAAAAGTGTGTAAATTAAAAACTGTTGATAGAAGACTGTTAATTAGAAACTGTTGATAGAAGACTGTAAATTAAAAACTGCTGATAGAAGTCTGTAAATTAGATGAGTCAGGAAAGCATGAAGAGATGTGTGATTTTCAAAGTTTGTGATAAAAAATATTTAAAAGTTTTTTTAAACAGAAAAGATTATAAAACAAGATTAAATTGAACAATTGAATCAGAGAGCAGAAGCAGAGAATTGAATCAGGAGTGAGAAACTAGTAAAAAAGGATTCATTTTATTTATGGTTTCAATAAAAGGTCAGTAGTAAACAATAATCCAAAGAGACTTATTTTAGAGGTCTCAATAAGAGTGTTGCGCTAAAAGAATATAGTTAATATTACAATAATTATTAACAGTAAAAAAACAAGTTCAAAGAATCTTGTTTTCCAGCGTGCTGGAAAGCGGCATCTGTTATCCCCATTTTAAAAAATTCTTGAAAATTTTGGAGAGCAATCTGATGAGTAAATTCTGGAGAGTAATCTAACAAGCAACCTAATCAGTCTGACAACCAACTCGTTAGTCTTATTCCTATCATAAGCAAAGTTCTTGAATCTTTAATTAACAAACACTTAATGTCTCATCTTGAATCTAATAACTTACTTTCTAATCATCAATAAGGGTTTTGATCTTCTCGTTCTACAGCTGATTTGCTAACAGTAATAACCAATAGGTTTTATTGTGCATTAAATAGAGGTGAAAAAGTTAAGATTATCATTTTTGACATTTCTAAAGCTTTTGATAAAGTTTGACATGCTGGTCTTCTCAATAACTTTTTTTCTTACAATGTATCAGGTAACATCTTTAAGATTTTTGAATCCTTTCATTCCATTCGTAGTTTAAAAATAGTCCTCGATGGACAGCACTCTTATTCATATGCTCTTTGTTTTTTAGACAAGGTGCAAAAATAAATTGTAAACATAGTTAGACCTGCTTTTGCAGCCAACCTCCAACCATTATCACATTGTCGTAATGTTGTTTCTCTTTCTCTTTTTTACAAATATTATAATGGCCACTGCTCTAAAGAGCTATCGATTTTTGTACCATCTACTAAAATTCATTGTGTTACTTTGTCATTTAGTTAAGTCTCATCCTTTTTCTGTGACTGTTCCTAAGTGCTATAAAATCTCCTATTCATCTAGTTTTTTTCCTCAAACATCAGTTTTTTGGAATTCGCTTCCTTTATCTTGCTTTCCTGATTTATACAATTTGCAATCTTTTAAGTTGTCTGTCAATCATTATCTTGCTCTACAAACTTCATATTTTCTCTTCCAGTAACTTCCAACTCTTATAGTGGTTGTTTGCAGCCTTGTTGGAAGCAAAGATGTAAAAAAAATTTTTTTTTTGAGCTCTTAGTATACTTGAAGCCCTTTTTCTAATTCTTATGAAAAACATTCTTAAGCTTAGATTAGTTTATTTTTTCTAAAGTCTAATATAATATCATATTGCTGTAATTGCACTCTTTACTGATTGTAGGAAATCCAAAAGCATAGGATATTTTTTTTTTCTGTAAATATGTTCTTAAAACTTTTTAGATTTACTATTTTTTGGAAAACCATTATGTTTTTTGTTTCATATGTCCTCTTTTATTGAATGTTGTTCTTTTTTTAGCAAATGTTTTTCCTCCTCATATCATGACTTTTTGTTTATTATTTGTTTAAATATATATTTATTTATTTGATTTATGCTTTAGAATTAAATTTATATATAAATAAATAATAAAGTTTCAAAACAATTACAGAACTACAGCAATAATTTACACAGTTAAACATTTATTTCCAGGTAATATATAGAGGAGTTGATCGCTGTTTTACTGCGCAAGCTCTTCATCCAACTAAAGTTTATAGCTTTACAGTAACTACATTTAGTTATATTTGAAATTTGTTTTTAGTTTTAAAATGTTATTCTGAACGGAAAATATTAAATTTCAGGTTTCAGCTTGGATGAGTGAGGGTAGATGCGAAAGTTTGCCCAGAACACGTCAAATCAGCAAGCAATGTAAGTTGTTTTAATATATCCAGATATTAATAATAATATATAGCTAAAAAAGTATAATTTTTTTTTTAGTTTTGATTTTAAATCAGATTTGAATTCTCTGACTGTTGCATTACGTGCTTTCGTTTCGTTGTCGAAGCACCTCTTCACTTGATTACCGTTTTTTATTCTTTATTCATTTGCTAATGTTGTTGTTATTGGTGACTTTTATATTTATCAAACTCATTGGCTTGGCTCTAGACTTTGCTGGACTTATATCTCAAAATAAATTTTATTTAAACCTCTTACCTAGAAGAGAGTTAACAACTACAAACTGAAATGTATTTAAAAAGTGTTTAAATACCTAAAATTACCATCTACAGCAGGGATGGCCAAAGTCTTAATGACAAAGAGCAAAAAAATTAATCACAAAATAAATAATCTGTGGAAAAAGTAAATGATTACTACAGATGTAGTCTTTTTTATTTATTTTTTTTCATTATTTTTCAATTCAAACAAAAACATCTTTTCAATTATCTAAGTATAATAACATCTGTGCAACGACACCTGGAAGTTTTACAGATGTAGTTACATCTTTTCAATTATGTTAAGAAAAACCACATATGTACAACTACATTTGTAAATCCTGAAGACGTAGTTACATTTTTTAAATTGTATTAAAAATAGCTACATGATTTTATCAAATTTTTAAATTATAATGTGTTATATTAATCAGATATAGTTACATATATGATTTTTTTTTTCAGATGTAGTTACATCTGGAAAAATTATTAAATAATAATGCATTATTTTAACCAGATTTAGTTTCATATAAGTTTTTTTTTCAGATGTAATTATATCTGCAAGAAATTCTTTTAGATGTTATTGGCCTTTGTGAAAAGTTACCAGATGTAGTTCTATCTAAAGATGATGTTGATTTTTCAGGTGCAAATAAAGGGGTCGTTGATTTTCCAGATAATATTGGACAGATGTTGTAAGTGTAAAAAGAAAATACAGATGATCTTGGACTAGTCCACAGATGTTTTGGACAGATGTAGTAATCTTTTACCCAAATTTCCAGAGTTTTTTCAGGAGAAATAGATGACAGAGAGCTTATGATCATGTCTGTCACCAATAGCTCACCAGTTTATTTTTTATCTTGTGTGATTTTTAGTTTTTATGATCGGGGTTGGGATCAAATATGTATTTTTATTTGAAGTTGTATTTATATTTGGTAGTTATGAGGTAAATTGGCGTAATTTTATTCGTGTTGCATTCGATTTAAAAACTTCTTAAAATTTTTTATTTGCATTTTATTGAAATGTATTTGTCACAGTTTCTCCATAAAATCCCACTGTAAACAAGGTTGACTGGTGTTTATTTGGGAAAAACTAAGTTATTTGTTTGTTTATTCTCTTCTTTTGTAATGCTAAAATAAGCTAAAATTTAGTTTGTAAAGAGTAATTTTTAAAGTTTTAAATTTAAATTGATATTTATAAAAGAGTTGTTTTCATTCTACTATTTAACATATCATTTTATCAATATTGTATTAAAACAAATCTATGTATTTTTTTAAACCTAACTTACAAATACTTGTATTTGTATTTGGAAAATACCAATTACTTATATTTGTACTTAATTTGGAAATCTGAAATTAAAGTATTTGTATTTGTGTTTCTCTATCTATATATATATATATGTATTATATATATATATTATTATGTATGTATATATATATGTATTAATATTCATATTCTAGCACATGTCTATATATATATATATATATATATATATATATATATATATATATATATATATATATATATATATATATATATATATATATATATATATATATATATATATATATATATGTATATATATATATATATATATATTATATTATATTATAATATATATATATATATGTATTATATATGTTCAGAACTTCCTAAGAACTAAGCAACTAAAAATATTTTCTTTTTCAAAGCAATTAGAAAGAACTAAAGTGCTTTTTAGTTACTTTAAATCACTTTATTGTTTATTTTTGGTAATTGGAAGAGTTAATAATAATAAATTTTTTTTGAATATATTGATTGATTTATTTTACTTAATTTTGATAAGAAGATTTATATAATATAAAAAGTATGGTAAACCAGATCTTTTTTATTACTTTTACCTGGAACCCAATACAGTGAGATAAAACTAAAACTAAAAAAAAAATACACTTATGTCTTTTTAGATTTTGTTAATTTATAGTTTTCAATAAGTAGGCATCTGTCAAGTATGTTTGCAGTAAAACCACTGGTTTAGGATCCCCCTTCCCTTTATATGCACCTGTATGCATTTAACAACTCCCCCTCTCTTTCTGTCTGTGCACATAGCATTTATTACAAAGTTAATTCCCTTCTATTACCAACGCATAAAATTTTTAAAACATTAAAAACAAAAAAACATTTAGTTAGTTTTACATATCTATATTACATAATATAAGAATATTTTTTTAAACTCATTGCTTTTGTTGAAAAAAAAATTATTTTATTTTAAATGTTTTATTTAAAAAAAAAAAAAATTTTTTTAAAAAAATTTTTAAAAACAGATGCATAACAAGAGATAGTCAAACATCATATGTACTGGTTCTCCCCCCCCCCCACCTCTCTCTCTCTCTCTTTCTTTCTTTCCCATGTACAAGTTATACCTGCGTACGTACTTTATGGAAGACCATTAAGTATGTTTACATATGTATCACATGTTAATCATTAGTCAACAGTTTTAAAGAAACTGGAATATGTTTACAGTTTATAAATTGTGTTTATACAATATATGTTTAAAGTTTATATATATTTATATTCTGTTCATTCTATGTTTTAATAGTGGTGTTACTTAGTGGTGTGTAGAGCAAGATTGTTATCCTTGTAACTTTATTAATACTTTTTATAATACTGTTCTTTCTTCATAAAAGTAAATAAATTTGTATTTTAATAAATTTTTCAGATATTATATCAAGTTTAATTATTATTAATGATTTATTTACTAATAGCCTGTATTACAGGTTGCTTACTGCTAGTAATAATATTAATATATATTATAAAATAATATATATGTATTTGCTATCAAATATTTAAAAAAAGAGTGTTTTTCATTTATAAACATATAACCTTTTAGATAACCTTAAATTAATTATACTTTAAAAAACTTTTGATAAAATTTAATTTTAACTTTTAGTTATATTTAGTTATACTATTTTAGATTAATCCAAGGCATGGCTGCATATAGACAAAAGAAACATCGTCATTTTAAACAACAAAAAGAAATAAATACTTTCTATCCAGAGGAAAATTTATCTGAATATTTAGACACTGCGATTGATCCATCTATTGAAATTGATACTTTGAGTAATTTAGTAACCTATCAATCTGAAGATACTCAAGTTGATGTTTCTGAATTTTCTGAATTTGATTCATCTTCCGATTTATCTATTGATTCAGAATATTATTCTCATACATTTCCAGCTGATAGTTTTTCAGATAATGAACCTTTTCATCAGCAATCAACTAATTTAATAGAAACCAATTGCCGTGAAAAATTACAGAAATGGACTGTAGACCATCGAAGCCATTTGACTGTTGAAACAGTAGAAGATTTGTTAAAAGTACTAAGGGTAGAAAATATTCCTAATTTACCTAAATCTGCAGTTACATTGTTGCATACAAAGTCAAATAAAAATATAAAATTAATGAATAGCGCAAAAAACACAATTGGATATTTTATGTTTCTTGGTATAGAACAAGGCTTAAATGATGTTATTACTGAGGATTATACTGATAATGTTATTTGTTTATTATTTAATATCAATGGTTTGCCATTATTCAATGGTTCTAATCAACAATTTTGGGCTATCTTAGGACTTATTTTGCACAATGAATATAATTCACAACCATTTATAATAGCTGTTTATAGTGGGGATTTTAAACCACAAAGTATAGATGTTTTTTTAAAAGATTTTGTCTCTGAAGCAAAAAATTTAGTTTTAAATGGAGTAACTATTGGTCAAGTGACCTTTAAAGTAGATGTTGTAGGTTTTTATTGTGACACACTTGCCAGATCATTTATTAAAAAATGTAAAGGACATGGTGGTTATTATGCATGTGAACGTTGTGAGACCAGTGGGACGACAATAAATAAAAAAAGAGTTGAAAATATTAGTGAATTTTATACCCAAAGAGTTTCAAAGAAAAAGATTACTTTAGTAATACACTTACCTTCATGATTCATGAAAAAATGATTTAAAATACATTTGTTGACTTTATAATTCCATCAATTATTATTGTAGAATTATCAATTATTATTGTAGAATACTAGAATGTTCAATGTAACACACAATAGAAGTTTGTTATTTGAATATCTATATTACGAGTAGCATTATAAATATATCTTTATTTGGATAGCATTATAAATATTAGCTTTGAAATATTTTATATTTAGATTTTTTTTTCAGATTTAATAAAGTTTATTTTAATCTGAAATAATCATTATTCAAAGTAATTTAATTCTTCATTATTTGGTAAAAGTAAATTTAATATGCTATTTTTATAAGGTATTTCATTAATATGAATCATCTGGCAAGTACTACTCATGTTGTAGTTAAATTCCTTGAAAAAACATGGAAAAAAAGCATGAAAAAGAATGTATTGATGTCATTCCTATTTTATGGGTGTATTATGAAAAAGACAAGTTATTCTGTAAATACCCATCTGAAAACGAATATCATGCGCTAGAAAAAATGAGTAAAATGTAATTGATACCAGGAGTTTTGTGGAAGAGTTTTGAAATTGTTTTAATTAAAGAAGCAAGTATGTAATGAAAGTCTTTGTGTATTCAACTGTAAATGCATTATAACTTAAATATTGTCATATATAAAGATATTTACTTACATTATAGAAAGCTATGAACAAGGATTGCGACGTATGATTAGGGCATGCTCTGAATTTGTAGTTCAGAGCAGTAATTTTGAAGATTTAAACAGTTCAGAAGAAGAATCTGCTCCTGTTAAATTAAGCAACTCTGAGCTTAAAGCATCTTTAAAAGGTATCTCTTCGTTTAAAGGTATGACTTTAAGTTTATATAATTTTTTTATTCCAAAAAAATCTTAAAACATGATAAAAAATCAATAGAATTATTTAATCTTATTACTGTTTTTTTTGGTTTTTTAATGATATCTATATCTGATCTGTTTTAGAGCATGAGTTCTTTGTTTCCTTTAAAGTAAAGAAAAGGCGATCGCCATGTTGTGATGAAGAATCTAATGACTTTTTGTCCTCATCTCCTAAAATAAAGACCTATAAATGTAACCCAGAGAGAAAAAACCGTATGTTTTCTTTAATCGAAAAAAAATTATAATTACAAATAACCCTTATTGTTGCATACACATAAATGTGTGGAAGGAATTTTTATTATTCAAAAAGTTTATTATTTTCAGAAATGATAAAGACTTCCGGTATATCACATGAAGACTCCAGGAAAAATTTAAACGAAGACAAAATAAATAAAAAAGGTAATGCAATATATTTCTTAGTTTACATGTAAATGATATTTTAATATTTTTTTTAATGAAATTATTTATAAATATCTATATCTTGTCTGTTTTAGATCATAGTAAAAGAGTCTTTTGTTTCCTTTGAAGTAAAGAAAAAGCGATCGTCATGTCGTGATGAAGAATCTAATGATTCTTTGTCCTCATCTGCGAAAATAAAGAAAATATTGACCTCTAAATGTACACTATTGTATAAATTTTAAAAGATAGATAAAGCGCGACAGCGCTCAATTTTTCAAGAAATAACTATTTCAATATTAGCTGCTAACAATGGTTTATAACTAGACAGTCAGTACTGGCAAAGCGTTATCATCCCAGATAAATGCCAGTGCCGAACCAGTACTGGCTGCCAGTATTAGACATTACTGGCGAAGTACTGCGCCTGTTGTGAATTTTTGATTTGGCAGTAATACGCCATTACCAGATGCCAGCAATGGTTAAGTTCTGGACATCAAGTACTGGCAAAGCGTTATCATCCCAGATAAATCCCAGTGCCGAACCAGCACTGGCTGCCAGTATTGCGCCAGTATTAGACAGTACTGGCGCAGTACTGCGCCTGTTGTGAATTTTTGCTTGGGAAGCCAGTTTTGATTTTTTATCTACTTTTTGTTCGGTTTAAGTTTTTTATCTACTTCTAACCCAGTTTGTTCTACTGGAGATTCCTGGTATCGAAGTAGTTTGATGTGTTATTTGAATATTCGATAATCAAATTATTTGAATAAACATTTTGTGAAAAGTTCAATTAAAATATTAAAGATAATCTTATAACATTTTTTAATTTTGTTGATTTTTGAGTCGTGCACTTTTTTTGCAAACGAGTTTTTGTGGCATAAACATTAGAAATAAAGTTTTATGATGGCTTCCATAATCCTTTTTATGTGATCATTTTTATTATTGTTATTAAAAAAGTTCGGAAATAAGATAAAAATTAAAATTTTAACTTTTTTTTTTTATTGTAGCTACATCATCTTCTATTTTAAAAAGAAGAATCTCTCTCAAAAAGTAATTTGAATCGCGATCCAACGAATTGTTAGTATGCGACTATATGCAACTTGTAAAGTTAAAAAATTTTAAATAAAAATAAAAATGACAAAAGTGTAATTGTTAAATATATGTTAATAATATTTACAATTATTTATATAAAGTTTATGTTTTACAAAAGTTTTTTTTCGTAAGATGGTATATTGCAACTTTAAAATGTTTTAAGGATGGTGATGAAATACCAGCAAAAAAAACAGAGAGAAAAAAAGAGTTTCGTTCACAAAATTTCATAAAACTTATTCCTTATAGACGCTATCCAGCTAAATTAGGAAGATCAGTTAAAAATAGTTGAAAACCAATTCCCAATTCATCAGAAATTTGATTAAAACAAACTGGATGAAAACTAATTAAAAAACAGTTATGTTTCTTCATATCAGAGCCGACAATATGGGTTTCATCTATATATCTAGAGTTTTCTTTAATAAAAAAAGGAGGGGGAGGCGGTGTCGTCGGCTCAGCAGAGAGCCGACGTCGGTTATCTGCTGGTCTGACAATCAGAAATAAGCATAAGGGTATTAAGAGACAAAAAATGATAAAGAAACGGCACCTCCAACAACTTTTTCCAATGAACAGTTAATCCTGCTGAGGCGCCCTGTTAACAGACAAAAATGATTGAGTTTATAGAGTTAGTTTGAAAGAGGTCCCGCCTAATATAAGGGCTTTTCCAAAGTGCATCAGGGGTTAATTTTTTATGGTACATTTTTCAAGGACAAAAAACTCGCACTGAATTTTTACTTATATCATACTTTATTGATAGAAAAATTAGAATTAACTAAGACTTCTATTTTTATGACAAATGTAAAATCTCATTCTAATAGAATATTTAGCTTCCATATACTTTCCAGCAGGATTTAGCCTTCAAAAATAACGCAAAAACGGTTCAAAAGGAAAATTTCTCGTGTTTCATTCCTGTGTCAGAATGGCTCGCCAACAGTCCAGATTTGACCCCTTATGTTTTCTTTGCATGAGGTTATTCGTGTTGGAAAAACTAAAAAATGTAAAATGAAATAACTTAAATGATTCTAAGGATTTACTAGCCAAATTGTGGGGTAAAATTCTTGACGGTATTGTCTATTGTCATCTATGACAATATAAAACCGTCAAGAATTTCATCTCGCATATGTGTTCTAAAGAAAAATTTGAAATAAATTAATTTTTTATATTAAATATAAATGTAAGTTTCAGAAAAATTCTTAAATCAGAAAAGTAAAAATCCTTTCCCTAATTAAGATCTCAAATCTGAAGAATTGTTATTTAGCAAACACAAAAACTATTAGATATTTGTAAATCCCCTCTCTGTAATATACTTTAATAAAAGCCTTAGGTAGATTTAAAAGGTACTGTTTTTTAATCACTTAGATAGCTTAAACATTTTGTTTCAATTGCATTTTTTTAATTTAAAATCGATAATCCATTATGTTATTGTTTGCACAGCAATCATAGGCATTTACAGTTATTCTGAAAACAATATTATGGAATAAAAGCATTATACACTGTCAAGTGCTATTTTCTGTTGTTGTTTTTATGAAACATTTTGGCCCGATAAAGTAAAGACTGTCATCAGACGTAAATATATTTAAAAAAAAACACTACAAAAATCTGTGAATTCCTTTAAACTATAGAACAATTATAACCAAAAATTATTTATTTTTTTTATTAGAAAAACTTCCCCGTTTATCAGATAAAATAAAAACCAGAAACGTTTGATTTATCATATACTGTGCTTTAACAGACGATAAACGATTTTATTTGTATCTTAGTCATGAAATAAATCTGAAGAATTGTTTCACACAAAACTAATTAATACTGAAACTTTAGAGAGAAACCTCTTGCCCAATTCCATGTTAAACAAACATTTTTTGTTTATTAAATGAAATTGCGCATAACAAGAGGATTTTTACATTACATAACAGTGATTAGAGATATCTTCTAATTAGGATTTTTAGGATGTCCTACTTCTTTTCATTCTATGATTTCTTATTTTATGGTTTAACACTATAAAAATTTTGAAAGTTTTTATAATACCACTATAATAAAAAAAATATTTTTAATACTATTAATGTTTTGATATAATATTAGTATTATAAGAATGTAAGCAAATTTTAAAATTTCTTTAGGTCTGTAGTTTTTCAAAATAAATTAAAACGCCTATTTCATTTAATTTCACCTAAATAACAACAACAACAACAACAATAAAATGTACAAATTTATTTTGAAAAACTACATATTCAAGCGGAGGAAAAAAAATTTATTTAAAGAGGTAAAAAAAGCAAAAAATGAAAGAAAAAATAAAAAGTTGTTTTTGCCCACTATCAACTATAAATCTAATTTTGCCGATGTTAGTATCCAATTTGCCGACTAATAAAATTTGTAGGGGGGCTGTGTATGTATTTATATATATATATATATATATATATATATATATATATATATATATATATATATATATATATATATATATATATATATATATATATATATATATATATATATATATATATATATATATATATATATATATATATATATATATATATATATATATATATATATATATATATATATTTATAAATATCACACCCTAGTGGAAATATTTCTTGCGAGAAAAAAGTACACCAGAAACGGATTAAAATATTCTGTATATATATTCTGTATAAAACTTTTAAAAGATATATATAAAATACATCTTTTAAAAAAAAAGGGGGTTAAGCGGGCAGGTCATGATTTTTTGATGTTCAAAATAGGTAACTTCCAGAGATGGTGCAAACTTCAAATTTTGTAACATTGATACTGGTATTAATTAAAAATGTTTTACAAAAAATTACAATGATAGGAGGATAGGAATGACTGGGAGCAATATTGACCTGAAAAATCAGGACCCACTGTCCCAAATCGGAAAACAAGAAAAAAAAAATTTTTTTTTGCATTATCTCAAAAAAGATAAAAATTCATCGTGAAAATTAATTTATCTTATATATTTTTATATATCTTTATATTAAAAAATTTTTATGCCCTCATATAAAAAATTTCGTATGGTTCATAAATGGCGTCCAGGAAAAGTTTAAAACCCCTTCTTTTTGAGGGGGTTGTCAACTTTACGAGGTCATAACTTTTGAACGTTAAAATAGAAAGTTAAAATAAAAAGCAAATTTTACAGATGAATTTTAGTCGAGTTCATAATGGAATATTTTTTTTAAGTGTTATTATTGCTCCTTTCCCCAAAAAATATTTGGAGCTTAGGGTTTTAATTTTATGGAAAGTTTTAAACAATACGTTAATTACGGTAAAAAAGCGTTTCCATTACAAGTTAAATGTATAAACAACATTTCTCTGTTTTTTATACTTCCTTTTGGTATACCGCAAAAAAAATTTAATAACAGATTCTATGAATTTTTTTTATCTGCTGCAAAAGTTAATTAAAAAATTTTAAAAATTGGTTAGTATTGCTCATATCGTTTTAAAATGCCAAATATTAAAAATTCTCAAAAAGATAATAGAGCTTTAGTCTGCTTAATTTGTTTTTTAAAAGGATCAAGAATGATAAAAGTTAAAGAATGAAGTGTGACATTGACCAGAATACAAAAGTTTTTTTAAAAATCATTTGATTTGAATTTTTTTTTTGAAAATATTTGAAAATATTTCCTAATGTACAATAAAAAAATGTACAGTAAAAAAATTTCCTAATGTACAATAAAATAGAATGTTACAACATTTATAGCTATATAAACGTTTCATTAGTTCACTCTTAACAATCTTTTAGATTCATATTGGCTATATTCATTTTTAAAGATAATATATTGAAAACTTGTTTTGAGTTTTATGGCAGCGGAACTAATATTTCATGAGATCTAATTTTCTACCACAAATCCTCCTAAAAATATTCTTGGAAGAATAAATTATTATGAACTTAGAATAACATAACATGTTTTTTATTTATAATATGTTTCTTCTATAATATTTTTTTGTTTGAAATCTAACAAGAAATTCTCTGATTTTTAGTAACAGTAGTTGTTACATGAATTGAAATTTTCTGAACGAAAATGTAATCTTTCATTTAACACGGAAGGTGTGAACACAAAGGCTCTTAAAAATTTTTGCTAATAAGACTGTAAATTAAAAAAACTGTTGATAGAAGACTGTAAATTAAAAACTGTTAACAGAAAACTGTAAAATAAAAACTGTTGATGGAAGACTGGAAATTAAAAAACTGTTGAACAGAAGACTTGTAAATTAAAAACTGTTGATAGAAGACTGTAAATTAAAAAACTGTTGACAAACTAAACACTGTAGATAGAAGACTGTAAATAATATAAGTCAGGAAAACATGAAGACAGGAGAGATTTAAAAATAAAAGTTATTTAAAAGTTTTTTAACAGAAAGGACAAAATACAAAATTGAGTTTTGGTTGATATATTGGAAGCTGTTGCATTAGAAATGAGAGCATTGGAGATTAAAACTTGCTTAAGATGCAACCATAATAGTTATTTGTAGAAAAGGGAGAAGAGATGAGACAGCCTGTCATGAGTGGTTCAAAGTTAGCAACTAGAACTGTTCCAACAACATTTACAATAAGAATAATTACAAAAGTATTTAAGATTTACAACATTTGTAGTAAAGAGAAAGAGAACTCTATGATGATGGCGCAGTATTTTTAGAAAAGAGAAAGAGCTTTAATTTTATGATGATAGGACAGTGGCTCAAACCTGGCAGCTAGAGGTAGTCGGATAACATTTATGATGTTGAACTTTTTAAAAAGAAATACTAACTTATTAGAAGAATGCATTGCTTTTAAATATTGTGATAAATATTGAAAGTTATTGAAAATCATTACTAAATCATTACTTTTTATGCGTTTTTATGACATTTAACTATAACTTTAATGCTTTTTGCTTATCTTATTAGAATTAATTAGAGTCGAAAAAAAAAAAAAATTCTAAAAATTATTTCTAACTTATTATTTATTATGTTTTGATCCTGAATAAATGGTTTTATGATATTTTTTCTTTATCTAATATGTGATCTAGTGTGATGTGCGATCTAGTGTATT